CAGTTACGTATTGCTCTATACTACTACTTAGATTAATATTGTGCAGTTATCATAACCTGTTTATTTATCTTTCATTTACTGGTTTTATAAATCTTAAGTAAGAATATTTAAATAATATGTATATATATATAATATTATATATTATACCTACACAAAGTTTAAGTATATAAATTATCTATTTAATTTTATAAAGCATAAACATTTGAATCAATAAATTGTAGGTTACTTATTTTAATGTAGTATCCTAACAAAATAATATACTTGATACCTAGCTTTTCTAAAATTAACAAAGTGTATTATTATAATTTGTTTGTAGTTAGTAGACTTGATATACCTAAATAGATATGTATTTTTCCTCTATCAATTATTAAAAGGTGATCTGCGTTGTTTTAAACAAATTATTATAATTTATAATGCAGTATTGTGATTTTAAACTTGATTAGTATTAGATTCATTACTCCATGTTCACTTATGCCTAATAATAATGTTAATTTAATAATTTTATATAACCAAGTTAAAATTTAAATAATTATAGGTGACTAGGACCTATTTTAAAATATATATAGAGTATGAAATAATTAATTAATATTATACTTATCAATTCACTGGTTTCTATATATTTTAATTAAGATGAATGTAAAACAAACATAAAAATGGCAAATATTATTGGTGGTAATAGGTAAACACTATCCTAAATTCGTATACCATATGGCATATTTATACTATTTCTAGATTAACACCTACATAATAATATCTACTATTACTATTTATAATATATAGGTAATTTAGTAAGATTAAAATCTGTGATGCATATTTATGTTTAAAAATAAATAAATGAGTTTAAATGATTATATTGTTAGGTATTTATATTGATATATATATATATATATATATATACACATAATATATAAATATAATATAATATAATATAATATAAAGTCAATCTATTAGAATATGATTAGAGTAGGTATGATAATAATATTATTGACTATTTGGCGGTATTTTAAATAAACAATCGTAGAGCATGATTTTAATACAGGTGCCGAGCTCATGTACGGAATGCTTATATGCCGGCGGTCAAAGGTTAGGCCGAGATATTTAACGTTTGGGAATGAGGGGATCGAAGTACCAAAAAGCGATACCTCTGGACATGGCGCTAATCTGAGTGTAAATGTAGTATGTACTGATTTGGCTTGATTTATTTTAAAACGCCACTTTTTATACCAATCTTCCATTAATGAAAGATGGTTTTGTAGGTTCGTGGAGGCTACAATAGGATCTGAACTGGATGATATTATGACTTTATCGTCCGCATAGTCTGCTACTAGTGTGTTGGGCGTGGTCGGTTGGTCAGATGTATAAATATTGTACAGCGTTGGGGAGAGGATACCACCTTGCTGAACTCCTGCCGTAATACCTGCTATATTAAAGACCGAATTTAAACTGTAGAAAAGCGAATCACGATATAAGTGAGTGCCGTAAATTAAAACGTAACGAACAACATAAAACCGTAGAAAGAAATGATCAGGGAAATCACGATAGGTCTATCAGTGAAATACAATCGGGAAGTAACGTTCGCATAATAACACCCAGAGTAGGGCGTTATTCGAATGAAATTTTATTTAGATGATATTTTATTCGAATGATTTTTTCACGATTATTCGAATAAAAAATCATTCGGATAATTTTCAAACGTTATTATTCGAATAAAAAAATTATTTGGATAATTTCAAAACGTTATTTTTCGAGTAATTTTCGTTAATTTTGCTTGGGTAACCATAAGGTTGGTAATTAAAAACAGGCAAATAGTGTGCATTGTAGGTATTTTAAATTACATGATGATGAAAATATTATAAAATATTATTTATAAAACAAATATAAATTTATAGAAGAAAGTAAAGAATTTGATATATTTTTTTTAATAATTATTTAGTAATATTAAAATATTCATATTATTTCGTAATAATTACAACAATTATAAATAGTAGTAAATAGTAATAACAAAAATGTAAATAAATAATTTTGACAAAAATAAAAATAAATAAATATAGCAAATTTTAAATTTCAATAAATAAGTCTAATAATAGTAAGTAACTAATTATAATTATAATTCAAAAATTAACAAATAATATTATACTTATTAGTTATAACGTTTAACAGTTATGACTGCATTTTTAAATTAGATTTCAAAATAACCCTCTCTTCAAACATAATATCATCTGATAGCTTGTTGGATTTTGGTAAATTGGTCATAGTTGCATATGAAAATAATCTTTCGACGGGAGCTATGACGGCAGTGGCGTATTATAGCATAAAAATATTTCTTTAATTGGTGGATACTGCTGAAGTATTGACAGATCTTGAGATAAATTGTTGAAAAATTGTACGGTCTAAAATTTAAAATACGAGTAATAATTATTATATTTCAATTTATAATTAGGTATATTAATGTACCTGTATTTCTGCCTCTGATGTTGCAGAGCGTCTACTTTGTTGAGCGTTACTGCTAGTGCTCACTAATGGGTCAAAGTTAAAAAAATCGTGAGATTCCTCATTTGATTCTGTGTACAATTCTGTAGATGACATAATATTTATTTCTTCTATTTTATTAGCTACTGCTGTATTAAATATTTTATTAAGTAGATCATGATATGAAGAGTCAATGCAACTTAGCCAACGGTTTTTAAATTTCGGATGAAAGTGCAGAAATTGCAGCATTATCTGCTTCAATTGTATTTAAATTTACTAAATTAGAAAACCTTTTTTCAATACTTGTAAGAATACTATTAAGTAAAGGTTCACAATATCTCCAATCATTTAGCAATAAATGTTGAACTTTACGGCGTAAACTAAATATGATAGGCAAAACAAAACCATAGAAAATATTATTTTCGCCTTGGAGAATATCTAATGCCTCTGCCAAAGGACCGACGCATTTTAAATGTTCTTCTATATAAATATACTCCGAATCTTTTAACATGCTATTTTTTAATCCTTATGCTACGAATAACTCACAATTTTTCTCCTTATTTTTAAAATTTGTTTTAAAGTCATATAAAGAGTTCCAACGCGTATCTCCAGGTCTTGATAATTGATGACCCAATATCTATAATATGATTTAAAAAAATTGAGTGTCAATTTGTGATTATTAAATAATATAAAAGTAAATGATACCGTAAAACACAAATAATTTACCTCAGCAGATTTTGGCCTATATGAAGCATTCCATAATAATTTACACTTTTTCATAACCGAAGTGTGTATTTCATTTAGTTGTGAGTTTTGCGGTGATCGAATAGTTTTAATTAGATCAGTTGTAGCAAAAAGGCTCAATGTATGAGCACAACATCTTAAATGTCGAGGTAGCCATAGACTATTTTCAATTTCCTGTGTTGTTTCTGCTGAATTATAAGTTATTTGTTTATCGTCCTTGGCTATCTATCGATGTATCACCAAATAAATTTATATTTTCATATACACTATCTTCAACATTATCAAAGTGAGTTAATTTAACACCAAACGCTTTAAATGCCTTGAAAAAATTACTACCATTGTCAGTAATTGTTGCAATTATCTATAAATTAGTAAATAGGGAAAATATTAACAATACTTGTACTTAAATGATTTTTATTTAGGCACTATAGGCAGCCATTCACAAAACTAAAAATCATAATAAATCATTGAATTAAAACAAATATTTTCATAATTGTATGTTGTAACTATTATAAGCCTCTTAACCCCCTGTGATTTGTATCTATGTATACAAAGGTTTCACTGTAGGTCTGTAGTATACATACAAAAGTATTAAAATAATTATATTACTACTAAATTATTAATATTATTACTAACCTTATTAGAATCCAAATTGTATTCTAAATGTATGTCTTGTAATATATCACCAATCAATAAATATATGTAATATATCGTTACACTAATGACAATACCTCGTAACTCAATTTTTGTCGATAATGACTTTTTGGTATCAAAATATTTGTAATCTCTTTGTGGTTGTTTTCTTTAATCACCTCCGTAACGATAAGACTGATATTTTCCCTCCAAAATCAATTAAAGTAATATCAGGTATCTCTTTATCACATGTAATATCACGTAACTTAACACAAACGTATGGGTTGAAAAAGTGACGGATTGAAGTCTTCATAACATCAATTTAACAACAGGTAATTATAATATTTTGTTTAAAATCGATTAATTATTAATACATCTAAGTATTAATGCTATTGTTATGTATGTAATAGATGTATTTGATATAATATATTAATTGTAATTAAACGTCTTAGATACGTGATATTTTCATTTTACATAATTCATTTTTTCTGTGTCGCATCCTACTTACGTGAAATTGCGCAAATTACATTATAACATAATATTACCTAGTATGTTATAATGAATACTATTAAATTAATATAATATTTTGTATTAATAATATTATAGACAGTTAGTTTTATTGTATTGTAATAGCTTTACCTACTGTTATATTTATTATAATATATTATATTATTAGTAAATTAATATGTTTAGGCACAATGGCGAGACGCAGATTAAAGATGATGATGGACTTGTCTGTTATAAATAATAATAACAATAATGTGAAAAATGAACATAGTGTTCATAATTTAGCAGATATTATATCTTCAGCTACAATTGTTTTCGATGAACCAGAAATAAATTCAGTTGTAGAAATAAATAATGAGGTGTTAGCATTTCCATTGGAACATTATACAGATAATTTTGAAGTGAATTCTGATAATAAAATATTGAAGATAATAATAGGATGTTAGATATTCCACTGGAAAATTATGAAGTGAATACTATGAATGCTGATATAAATACTGAAGATTATAATAGAATGTTAGAAATTCCACTGGAAAATTTTGAATTGAATACTGTGAATTCTGATATAAATATTGAAGATTATAATAGAATGTTAGAAATTCCACTGGAAAATTTTGAATTGAATACTGTGAATTCTGATATAAATATTGAAGAGGATAATGATAATATGTTAGAAATTCCACTGGCAAATAATATACCTTTATGTTATGAATTATTAACTGAGAATATTTTTAAACCAAATTATATAAGTAATGAAAATGAAAAAATTGATGTAGAAAATATAAATGTGAATAATGTACAATCTAAAGCTAATGACACGCGTAGTATTAAGCCTCAACCAAACAAATGGAAAAGAAAAATTAGTCAAAGATGTAGAATGATTGGCCAAGAATACATGGGTTTTCAGAGGAAAGGAAATGTAGTTAGTCAAGATGTACAACGACCAGCAAGAAATATACAGCCAATTTGTGAATCTAAATTTTGTATTAAAGCAAAAAACCGTTTTTGCCAATCTTTTAATGAAAATCAAAGGTTGGAAATATTTTCTACATTTTGGGATTCATCATGGGAAGCAAAAAAAGACATTTTCATGTAATATGGTAACAAAAATGATAACTAAAAGTAATACTACCGGATGTAATGATAGTACTAGACGATTAAATACATACACATATCATTTAAAATATAAAGATTTACCTGCATTACAAGTATGTAAGAAAATGTTCTTGGGTACTCTTGGAATGAATGAATTTATGCTACATTCTTGGGTAAATGAATCAAACCATGGTATTCCAAAGTTATCCAAAATTACATCATATGATAATTCAGGTCAAATTATCAAATTATCACCACAGAGTATAGCTAGGAGAGCATTTTTTTGTGATCGTTTAAAACATATTAAAAGTTGGTTTAACAGCCTGGCAAAAATGCCATCTCACTATTGTCGTGATAGAACAAATAGATTGTATCTTGAAGGGCCTTTTAACAGCTTTCAAGAAGTATTCACTTGTTATAAAAAAAAATGTTCTGAAGATCAATTTATTCCATTAAGCAAATGTTTTTTTACTCAATACATGAAAGAAAATAAAGTGTCAATATTTAAACCACGTAAAGACCATAGGCGCGAGGGGGGGGGGGGGGGGGGGCTTCCCCCCCCCTAAATTAGTCTTAGCCCCCCCCAAAAATCTACAAATTTAAAAAGCTATAATATTATAAATGTGTACAGTTTTTTTTTTATATTTAAATAATATTATATATTATGAGACTGCCATATTAATTATAAAATAAAAAGTATCACTGATATTGTAGAAATAAATGTATAATATTATTTTGATCCTATATTATTAGGAATTATTACATTGTTTTATTATTGCTATCACGTCATGATCGCGATTGTATATTATACTAAATGTCTAAATGTATATTTAGGTACCTACTTCATAATAAATAATTATATAAGATACTCTTTACTATAAACGCACGATTCCAGTAATAGCCAATACTTGTTAATCCCGCATAATATTCCCGAACTAGGTATTTCCCTAGCGACATATTATGATCGCTATCCTCTTGTCGTTTTCATTACAACAGTTAACAATCCGCGTTTACGTTAGTTTATCGTTCATTTTACATGATCATTGATCAGTGCATTCAAACTTATTTCAACGTTTTTAAAATCTTAACAATGGAAAGTAAAAAGTTATTCAACATTTTCAATAACAAAAATAAATCCACAACTACTTCTACAAGTTCTACAGTTTCTACAAAAATAGATGTTGATCAAAATATATCGGTTTCTATCACTACTGCTACCAATACCAATATTGTCAACATCGATGATGAATCTATTACCAATAATACCTCAAGTGGACATTTAGATCTTGGCGATTTAAATTCTGGGCCTATGAGGCCAATTTTAAAAGTAAGTACTTTTTACAAACTTATTGTATTGTTCATAATTTATATTTATGCAATTTTTAATTTTAAGTTGTAATTACTAATTGTTTAGGTAGATAGTTAATTACTTCAATGTTTTTCTAGGTATTTCCAAAAACTAAATTTGGACAACAAAACAGATCATTTTCTTGTACACACTATAAAAAATTTCCATGGATTGAGTATAGCATTAAAAATGATGCTATTTTTTGTTATGCTTGTCGTTTATTTTCAAAAGACTCTGGCCATGTTGAACAAACATTTATTAGTATTGGATTTAATAATTGGAAAAAAGTAAGTTTTTAATAATAAATTTTAGATTTTAGAATTCTATACAAATACAATTAACTTTATATCTGGGTATACACTGTATGTCTGTATGTTCTGCAATACATCACTACTTATTATTTCTTAACCATTAATGAGTTTTTATTTTATTGTTTTAGTTAAGTGGTTATAGAGATTCAAAGGTTAATTGTACAAAACTTGAGTTGCATAACAGTTGTATACATCATTTAACTGCTATGTCTAAATGGTCAGGTCACAACTCAATGCAAAAAAATGGGTCTGTTCATAACAAAATTGTTTCTGCAAGTATGCAACAAATAAAAGAAAACAGAACCTACATGATGCAGTTAATTGAAATAACATTGTTTTTAAGTAAACAAGGAATTGCTTTTAGAGGCCATAGAGAAAACGAGTTTTCTATAAACAGAGGTTTGTACTTCTAAATATGTTTAAATATTCTTATTTTAAAATTATAAAACACATTTTAGGAAATTTTAAAGAAACTTGCCAAATGGTTGCTAAATTTGATGAAATATTTGCAAATCATTTTTATTCCAAAACCAACTATATACAAGTTGATCTGTGCAGAACACTATTATTGATGTATGTGCTAAGAAAATTAATGATTTTATTTGCAATGAAATTAAAGAATGTGGTGTATTTAGTGTAATGGTGGATGAAGCAAGGTAAACATTTAACTTAGTGATAGTTTATATACCCGATAAAAAACAATTATGTTTATATTTATATACTTTCTAGATCTTTCAATGAAGAGCAGCTTTCTTTTTGTATAAGATATACTAAAAATTTAGATGTTGTTGAACGATTTTTAACTTTTCTAAATGTATCAGAGAAACAAGATGCTGATTCATTGAGTACTATTATGTTTAATTATTTGGATGCAAGTAACATCGCTCAAATACCAATAGTCGCACAGTCATACGACGGAGCTAGCGTGATGTCTGGCCGATTTAATGGTGTGCAACAAAAAGTAAAGTTGAGACACCCATGTGCCATCTATACTCACTGTATGGCACATAGAGTCAATTTAATTGTAATTGACATGTGCAAGATAGTTAAGGTAAAGAAAAATATTTTCATTATTTTAAACGTATCATAACTTTTATATTATGTACATTTTTAGGAGACCCGATATGTGTTTAATTGTCTTGAATCCATATATATTCATTTTTCTATGCCAACAAACAACTTCAAATTTAAAGAAATTCAAAAACAACTAGGTTTGAAAAAAATATCTATCACAGCAATAAGTGATACACGTTGGAATTGCAGAGTCAAAAATTGTACTTCAGTTAAACATAATTTTAAAGCAATAATTGAAGCATTAAAAGAAAAAATTGAGAATTCTAATGATCGAGATGTTTCCCAGGCCTTAGGTAAATTTTAAAATATAAGTCAAATTTGTTTTTACTAACTCATACTCATACCTCTTAAACATTTTATTTTTTTATTATAAACTAAACGGTGAATTGTAATCATACAGTAACAATTAATTGATTAGTAATAATTTTTTAATAGGAATTTTATCTATAATGAATACGGTTTCATTTATTTTTCATCTCATTGTCTTGGAAGATATATTACAAGTTATCAATATTCTTAGCACCCAGTTACAACAAAAAACAGCTACATTGGGCAAAGCTGGCCTAGTTATTGAAGGTGTAATAAAAACGTTTGAAGAGAAACGTTCAGATAAGTATTTTTCTGAAGTATGGTCTACTGTTGAATTGTTTTCTGAAACTCATGGTATTGAAACACCTATAAAAGGTTAGTATAAAAATATTTTAATTATTGATATGAAGTATATTATTTAAAATTACTGTTGATTTCAGATTGTACAGCTAAGAGATTAAAAAGAGAACCAAATCATTTGAAGGATTTTCATTTATCATCAACCACAAGCACTGAACAAATTGATGAAAATAAAAAACGCTGGCGAATAATTTATTTCAAATTAATTGATACTATTGTTACAAACATAAAAAAAAGATTTTCCACTGAAAGCCTAAAAATGGCAACAGCAGTTGATAATTTTATGATGTTAAATTATGATGATAGCACTTTTTTCATTGAAAATTATAAAGTAAGGATAAATTATTAACATGAGATGTATTCAATTTAATATAAAATTAATTTCTTTTCTTATAGGAGTTGTTCAATATTGACTTAAATGCTCTTAAAAGTGAAATGATGGTGGTAAAAAATTGTGTCCTTCGATCAAGCATAAAATTACAGATTGATTTTGATAAAATAAAAGAAGTGGTACAATCTGAAATTTATCCAAATTTATACACTTTGTTGAAAGTGGCTCTTTCAATTCCTGTTAGTTCTGCCACGTGTGAGCGTTCTTTTTCCAATATGAGAAGAATTAAAAATTGGCTGCGCACATCGATGGATCAGGAGCGATTTTCCAGTTTGGCAATAATAAATATCGAAAGAGATGTATCAAATCAGCTTAAAGCTGAGGATATACTTTTTGAGTATGCTAAGACCAATAAAAGGTTACAATTATAATTTGTTGTTTGTTTATTTTGATTGATATATTATTATATTAAAAATTAAAATAATTTAATAAATGTATTACTATGTTGTTAAAATTATGTTATTATAAATCACATCCCCACTAGAAGTGAGTAATATAACCTGAGATAGGTCAACCGTAATAATGAAGAAAAAAAAATTTAATCAGGTTACTAATATTATAAGGTAAGATAATATGAATGTTGATTGGGGGGGATGTGGGGGGCAAAGCCCCCCACGGGTCTGCCTGCCCTTAATATATTCAGCCCCCCCAAGTCAAAAGTTGAAATTGCGCCTATGGTAAAGACCAATGTGATTTATGTTCAGCATACGAAAATTTCCAAGTATCTGAAGAAGAATATGCTATGCATATTGCTCTTAAAAATAGTGCAAGGGAAGAGAAACAAAAGGACAAAAAAAATGCAGAAGAAAATAAGTGTTACTGTTTTACTTTCGACATGCAAGCGGTCAAATTATGCCCTGCAGTACAAGCAAGTGCATTATATTATTCTATGAAGTTAAAAATTCATAACTTGACAATATATAACTTAGCAACTAATGAATGCAGTAATTACTGGTGGCATGAAGGCGAAGCAGATTTAGAGGCATCTATATTTGCTACAATTATTATCAAGCACTTATTAACAAAATGTACTGAACAAATACCAATTATTATCTACTCTAATGGATGTGGGTATCAGAACAGAAATGTTATTCTTTCAAACGCTCTTCTTCAGTTTTGTAAGACTCAAAATATTGTTATTAAGCAAAAATTTTTAATTAAAGGACATACACAAAAGGAATGTGATAGTGCACATTCTCTTATAGAAAGGAAAATCAAAAATAAAGATATTTTTTTGCCCTCTGATTATGTGCGATTAACAATAGAATCTCGAAACAATCTTAGTCCATTTGAAGCAATCCTATTGACACACAGTTATTTTTATGATTTTAAACATTTAAATGCTTACACCTCTATAAGACCTGGTATTGGAAAGGGAGAACCAGAAGTTAAAGACATTCGTGAACTATTATATGACCCATCAACATCATGCATTTATTTCAAACTTTTATTTGATAACCCATACTGTGCAATACCAAAAAAAAGTATTTCCTAGAAAGAAAACTATAAGAATAGATGAAGATCAACAATTTCAATATAAACCATTGTACAAGAAACCATTGAATTTATCATTATCTAAATGGAATGATCTATAAAAACTCAAACAAGTTTTACCTATTGATACTCATTAATTTTATGATACACTTTTACATTGTAATGAACTAAAAACCAAAAAAGGTAAAGTCTAGTCATATTCATTGTATTTAATATTTTATTGTTATAATCTAAAATGTTGTTTTATTTTATATTTTTTTGTTATAATATTGATCATAAGACTGATCTCCATTACTTAATATACCTAATAATATTTTATTGTTATAATCTAAAATGTTGTGTTTTATTTTATATTTTTTTGTTATAATATTGATCATAAGCCTGATCTCCATTACTTAATATAATAATATTTTATTGTTATAATCTAAAATGTTGTGTTTTATTTTGATTAACATCATAATATTGTTTATTATTTTAAATAATTACTTTTTATTATATTTTTTTGTTATAATATTGATCATAAGACAGATCTCCATTACTTAATTTAATAATATTTTATTGTTATAATCTAAAATGTTTTTTTAATTTCTTAAATTTTAATAGTTTACTTTTGTGTTGTTATTTTTAATAATCCTGTTTTTATATTCATAACATCATGTTTTCGGTAAAGACTGATCAAGAGAGCATAATACTGATCCACACTACTACTTTCCTATGTTTAAGTAATAATTATTATAAAATGTATGGTTAAAATTTAATCATTTTACAAACAGTAATACTTCGTATATTTAACAAAAATACCACGTATCTAAATTACTGGTAGAGCAATATCACGTATCTCCTTTAAACTGTATACATAAAAAAATGTATGGATTATTTATATATATAATATTCCAAAAAAATATAAGTTATTTTAAAATGCAAACATAAAGAATGTAGTCAATGTGTAACAATAATTATTCAGTTTTATGTTTCTCCTGAAAAGTACCAAAAATTTAGTTACGAGGTATTTTCATTAGTGTAACGATATATGTAATATATTACTAATAACTATGTGTTCCACGAAATCTACGACAAGCCAAACTCGATGATCGCCGTTCGAATTTATCGACATCGATCCAATGTATTGTTACGCCCAAAAAACTTCTTTTTTTTTTGATGACCAGACATCAGTTGTGGTACATACATATTTTATATCCTTAATATAATTTATAATTTTTTCATTAATGTCTTCGAACAAATTGTGTATTTTTCTCCCAAGATTTCGTCGACTAGGAACATTAATTTTTTTAGTGATTCCAATATTTTCAAATATTTTTTTGAAAAATGGGTTTTCTACAGTTCTTAATGGGACCATTGGTAATAAAATTGGTAATATCTTTGTCAAATTGATCTTGGGTATATTTATCACGATGTACTTTACTAACTGCATTATCCTTATCCTTAATTTTTAATCGTTTTTCTGATAAATAATTTTCATATGAATCAATAACGGATTGATCATGTCTTCTTTTGAGATGAGACTTAAAATTGGACGTTGATGATAATGATCCTTTTATATCAACATGACGTAGCTCACATGTTACGCATGTAGCGATTACTTTATTATTGTCCATTTTAGATTTTATTTTAAAAAACTTACCATCTAAAATGGACATAGAATCAGTCATTTCAGACACTTCAGTATTATCCTCGGTTGACTTTTGTGTTGAAATTATTGAATCTTCGCTACGTACATTCAAGGAATTCATATTGAAATAAATTGATATTTTAAATTAAACTAAACACCACTGTGACAGATTCATACACTCGCGCATAGAATAACTAATGAAGCAACACCACACAAGTAATATACTAATATCATAAGATAATCTTTAAAGTTTACGCTGTACAAAGTACATCTGATAAACCACGTTTTCGATGTTTAAATATCATAATATCAAATAGATAATTTTTATAGCTATAAGCCTATACCTTTATATTTTTGTGTAGATCTCTATATTTGAACTTATAAATTTAATATGAGAGACAACATAAGTATAATATATACGATATACCAACCTTATAGTATAATATATAATATTATATACAATAATAGCTACATGTCTATATCCAAAAACTTAATGGTATTTGGGTGTATGACATGTGCATGTGCTAATGCCTAATGAAATAAAACAATATTCTAGTGTGCCGTGCAGATCACGCTATGGCTATAATATGCTCCTCGTATTCGTGAAGCGTCAGAACAAGCTACAGCTTGCAGTATTTAAAATGATATAATAAAAATCAATAAAGCGTTTGATTAGTAAATTATTAAAAAAAATTAATTTAGTTTAATATATCACAGTATAATTAATGCTATTATTAACTAGAATACTTATAAATTATAATCTTACTACCATTATCTTCTTTTAATATAAAACAAAGAATAGTTGCTACACGGGCCGATAGGTTTAGTGTTCCGACCAATCGAAAAATTCCGTTTTTTTTCTTCCAGTCGTAGTCCCATATCTCCCATCGTTATCGTTTCTCCCACAGCCGTCGTTATCGGTTCGGTCGTTGCTCATTACTCATTATTATTGTTTTTATATACCGTTTTTTCCGCTTTTCGCACGGGTTTCCGGCCTTTCGAGACCTCTTTCCGTCGCGTTCTCGACGCTATAGCCCGGAGCGGGTCTTTTTCGTCCCGTTCGCGGCCGTCGCGTCCGGAAAACGCGTTCTCCGGTCGGTCGTCGTATCGTCACTATTGTTTTTTTTTTTTTACGATACGATAAATCGTTTATCCGTATCGAATACGCGTCCTTTAGTTTTCGGTGTCTCCACCCTCGGACGCATCCGCGACCTTATCGTCTCGATAGCGTACGAAATACGATTATATGTGTATATATATATATAATAATATTATTTAAAAAAAGAAACGTGCGTACCATTGTTGACGTACGTCAGATCGTGTTTATTATATACAAAAAAATCGCAAAATCGTTGCTCTTCAGTCGTTGTAATGCCTTTAATCGCATACCTTTGGGGGGGATATCGTGATATGTGTATGTGATGATAAACTCGGTACGTCGTTTAGACGTATACGATTAAAATAATGTAGAGGAATACGTCGGAAACACTCTAAATGACGATTAATATGCGATTTACGGTTTCGTGACACGCGAATCGTAAAAATTGTATCGCTTAAATGACGTGTAATATAGTATTCATCGCATCTCTAAAACGGTTTAAGTGCTCGAAATTCGGTTACGGTTTTCAACTCAAACTGTAGTCGATAGGTGTTAGGATAGGTTCCCCAACGTTAGGTAGGCAGGTTCGATTCCCGTTCCGGCGTATTCCGGGCGGCCTCATATGAAACTACTCGTACGGAATTTTTTGCATTTTTTTTTTCATTTAATTCGATCATTATTAATTGCTATTTTCGTTTTGGTATCCAATCTTACACTAATGCTCATAAAATATTTTTCAAACTTTAAAAACGATTTTTGATCTCACACATTACATTTTATATTGCTTGATTGATGATGACAAAATATATTATATTATTATACTCAATAAATATATACATTTGTGTTTATATATGTTACACATTATAACTTATTATATTATATATTATACTTAATTAAAAATAAAAACCAATTATAGTTATTGCTAACAGTCTGCATAATTCAAATGTACATATGTGATATGCAATTTATATTATAACCTGAGAACATTCTATTGATGACGATACAGTTGTTTCACTCGCTTACATTTGAAAGATACAGGGGAAAAACAGTAGCACATTTTTTTTCTTTTGATTTTTAAATATTTTGTCATCACAGAAAGAGCATAATATTTCTTTTCGATATCTAACCATCTATAAAATATGAAAAAAAATATTAATTATGAATAGTTTTTTTGATTTTCAACTTGCTAACGTTTGACATGCATTTTCCTTAATGCGTTTAACATCTCTCCTTTACGCCCACATTGTCCGCGATCCAACGCGGTCAAATCGCCTACCTGGGAGGTTCAAACGCGTTTAATTGGATTTTCAGTGGTGATCGCTTGAAAAATCGAGCGCTCGATTCGACTTAAACTTTTTTGCGTACTAAACAGCACAACGCCTTCGACGTCAGGAGGTATGACAATCCGCCGCAGGCGGATTGCCCTGTCAGGAATCGATATTCACTGGACGATGACTGATAACTAGACACTTAATTACCTTTTCGGAATATATTTATTTATTTTCCATGCACAAAAGCACAGGACAAGCTATGGGACAAGGTGTATTACACCTGTAAATTTAATGAAATGACCGACCACTAAACGCTCGAACTGAACTTTTATCTACTTTTATTATATTATAAGATTATTATTTACGCGTTTAAAACGACACCGCCAAAGTGTAGAGCCACCAAATCAGAGGTACCAACATCTCAATCGTCGTTATCACTGGTTTTGCCTATTAGACTATTCTAACTGCTGTATTCTTAAGTCCTGTCTCCGACCTAGGAAATTCACTTCTAACGATATTCAGCTATCTAGGGTACTCACATACAGCGAGTTTTACCGACCTAGGGTATTTTAATACAGCGAGTTTCACCAACCTAGGGTATTCACTTACAGCGAGTTTCACCGTTGCTAGTATGTTACATATTTTGTACTACATAGTATAATTTTTATTCGAATAACATTTTGAAATTATCCGAATAATTTTTTATTCGAATAGTTATCTAGATTAAATTTTGCCCAACTCTGATAACACCAGTAACACAGGAGCCAGGCACGTCCGGATGGGGGGGGGGGTAGGTGGTGCAAATGCACCACCTGAAAATTTTATTAAAATTGGATTTTTCAAATAAATAAAAAAAGTAAAAATTCCTTCTCTATTATTTTATAATTTATGTCCATGGACCTTGATTATGCCAATATATTATTAAATATTAAATTCCTATTTTTAGAACCGTCGTGCGTCGTCTGTACTGACGTTCGCGCTACAGTCACGAAAGAAAGACAATTCCACGCTGCATGCGTCTATAAATACACTCATTTTAGTCACTATAATGATATTATTATTAAATTCTTTGTGTGGTTATTATTGTTGCGTCCCTTATGTCAACGTCGATTCATATATCAACGTAGAAATAGAAATACTAATGTTTGCAAGTTAAAAGATTAAGTCTTTATTTAATACAATTAACTCGTACAAGAATACAATTTTATAAGCACAAGATGGTGTGAGTGGTGTTACGACCCTGCCTCTGAGAGTCTCGAATATCCCTAACCATCTGCTGAGCTCTTGCCCTGGTCTCCCTTATATATGGTTAACCGTCAAGAGTGGTGACTGGGGAGGTGGTGACTTCCGATGACCTAAAGGAGCTCTCTAAATTAAATGTATTATTCAGTTGGGTGCCTTTCCTGCGATTTCATCGGTTCTAAGAATTACAAGACGTGTGATCAAGTCTTAATTGTCATATTAAATAGTACAATGTTAACACTATCGTTTACTCATCATTTCTGAGAAGTCTAGGACGTGTAATCATGTCTTATTCATTATATTAAATATCACGATGTGCAGGTGATCAACATAGCCGTTCGATACTACACTGTTTGAATTTATTATCCCATCGGTATACACATCACCTCTCCGTATAATATATATGTGTAAAATAACACGGCACGTAACATTATTATGAGTATGTATTGTGTTTCTGTAAACTGCATATTATATTATGAATTATGATAGTCTAATATTATTGACTTATTGTTCACTTGGTTTTTAATTTTACTAACGTTAACATCACAATATCACATTTGAATAATCATGTAAAATTGTGGTATTTATTTATTATTATGAGTAATTATTTATTAAACTTTTAATTTTAAAATTATGTCTTCTAATAAACGGAATTCACAAACTATTACCAATTTTTTGTCCAAATCAATAAAAAAACAAAAATTCAAGATAGAAAAGTAAGTGGTTAAAATAAATGTATACACCTAAATAATATATTATAATTTATAAGTATTTTTTTTTATTTAATACTACCTATTAGGTACTTTCCGTGTGTTGCGGGGTCGACCAGTTCTTCCAGGTTGCCCCGGAGACACTCAGCCTCTTTATGTAACCGCGGGGTTGTCTCTTCCGGGCAGTAGTCCCGGATGACTCCGGGGGTCCTACCCGGGGCGCCGCCTCACCTCGGGCGCCATAATGAGTGACCGCCACGGCCAGAGCCCGACGGATTATCGCCTGAGTCAAACCCCTTCTACTAAGGCGGTACTCCCACAACCACCACGAGTCCTTCCTCAAGTGTGCCTTTCCCGGTGCGGGCGAGCGCGAGTCCTCGGTGAGTCCACGCGGTCGTGCGCCTCGGGTCAAGCACGCTCGGAGCGTCGAGGCGCTATTAGCAAGCCGACTCGACGAGGCTTACTCCGAGTCCCGTGGTACAAGGTTTGAACCCGGCGTTCAGGACCTCGCAACTGTCTTGTCCGCAAGCAGGTCGATTGGGGCACCGCTGTGTGTACCGCGACGACCCCTTTATAGCGCGTATGGTTTTGATCTTTATCGACAGATTGCCGTTTCTGCCGGTGCCTCTCTCGTATCAAGCCCCGAGCCGGCTGAATACGTGCACGTGCTTCGCTCGACGGATGGTCTGGCCCCTCTAGTTCGAGCTCTCGGTCTAGGCAAGAATTTGTTCATAGGGAGCGAGGGCACACCATTCGCCCCGCGAGATTTTCCGTCCGTCCCGTCACCGAGGAGGTCGGGCATTCAGTCCGTCCCGCCGGGTATCCCGTCCCTCGCTCCCGGTAGTGTCTTAGTATGGAGGGCGTTCAACGATCCTGTGGGGGCGCCGTCTTAGAGCCCTTTTGATCCGGCTATCGGGTCCCGCTTCGCCTGCCACTATCCGGTACTTCGCAGGCTTTCGCCCCGCCGCCATCGGTGACAGCGACGTTCGTTCCGGCTAGGCCCACTCGGACGATTTGTGCCCGCGTGGATAGGGGAGACTGTCCCCATGTCTCTGGCAGTGCGCCGTGCTCTGCACGTACGCCCTCTGGCCACACGCCCGACCACTGTGGTTTTAAAATTAGGGGTCTGGGTCGTGCCCGCGGGGTCGCCCTATATCTTTACGTTCTAGGACTTCCCGGGAGAAGTTTTTGAACGCAAGGAACATGGCCTCCGTGGAGGTCATGGTATCGCAGTCGCACGGCCAGTTCACACCTTCCGCTTGCGCTGCGGCTGCGAGCTTGTTTCTTTCCTGGCTATATGATGGGCAATCGTATAGCACATGCTCCGCGGTTTCCTCCGGAAGACCGCATCGGCAACGTGCCTCGCCTCGAAGGTTGAAATGACAGAGCGACGAATTGAAATTCCCGTGTCCGGTCACGAACTGCGAGATGTAGTGGTCCGGAACGAACCACGGCCTCTCGAGCCTGCGCCGGACGTCCGGGAACCAAATCGCCGTCCGCCTACCTTTGTCACTGGCGACCCATCTCTCCTGCCAGAGGCGTATGGTAGTGTCGTAATACTGTTTCGCCTTTCCAGCAACTTCTGACGCCGACTTGTTTCCCCTCCTCACGGCGTTCTTGTTCCGTTCGACCTTAGCCAGCCGAACTAGTTCTAAGTCGAGGGGAGGTGCTCCGGCTATGACCTGGAGCCAAAAATTTCTTGAAAAAGCTAAACAACACGAAAAAAATGATTGGCGCATTGATTCTTGTATACGGTCTAAAGATTTTATGGACATGATGAAAAGTAATAGTGGTATTGATCAGATATTAGATTCTCATTATAGAAACAAAATAACTGAAAATAGAACTAATTTAAAACCAATTGTAACATCACTTTTATTCTGTGCATTACATAACTTACCTATTCGTGGAGATAATGATAATACTGCTGTATTTAATAATCTACTAGAATTCAGGATTTACGCTGGTGATTTAGTTTTAAAAAGTCATTTAGAAAAATCTCCTAAAAATGCCTTATATATATCTCACCGTGTACAAAATGAACTAATAGAATGTGCATCATCTACATTAAGGACAGTTATTACCAATGAAGTTAGACAAGCATTTTGTTTTTCAATTATAGCTGATGAAACAGCGGATATTAGTGGTGTTGAGCAACTATCAATATGTGTAAGGTACTTGAAGGATAAATTAGTTCATGAAGAATTTTTAGGATTTTTCCCTCTACTTGAATTTGATGCCAAATTTATTACAAAAATAATTTTAGAGGCATGTAGTAATATTGACATTAATATGAATAAATGTGTTGGTCAAGGTTTTGATGGATGTGCAACAATGGCAGGGCATATATCAGGAGTACAAAAATGAATTAATGACATGTACCCAATGGCTCATTTTTTTCATTGTGCAAGCCATCGTTTAAATTTGGTTATAAATGATTTAAACACTGTGACAGAAGTTAGAAACTGTATTGGAAAAATCAAAGAAACAATCACATTTTTTAGAGATAGTGCTCTCCGCAAAAATATCATTGGAGGTAGTGTTTTAACTAAATTATGTAAAATACGAATTGTGGAAAAACATAAAAGTGTCAGACAATTTAATGAACGGTTTGTAACAATTGTAGAAAGCTTAGAAGAAATATTTAAATCAAATAATTTCAATAGTAAAACAAAACAGCGTAGCTATGAACTTTTATCTGCGATAACTACTCCCACTTTTGTAGTTATACTATCAATAATTTCGAAATATTCAGAAAAATTTGAAATTATTTCAACAGTACTACAAGGCATTGATGTTGATTTGCAACAAGCTACTAGACATGTTCAAGACCTCTTATCTATGTTACAAAAAGATCGTGGTGATTGTGAGACTCAATTTAGTTCAATATTTGAAAAAGCAGTAGAAATTGCATCCAAAATAAATCTGGAATTGACTTTACCTCCACGAAACGCCCGACAGACACACCGTGAAAATTATCCGACTAATAATGTACAGGACTATTTTAGACAGTCTTTATTTATTTCATACATTGAATCAATTATTATTTCTATAAAAGAGATTTTCTGATGAAAAACTGAAAATATTTGCATTATTTGACTTACATCCCAAAAAAATTAAGTATATGAATCGACAAACATTCATGAAGACACTTAAAGTTATCTGTCAAGTTTATGGATCAATTCTAGAAAATTTTGAAGAACAAGCCTTATCGTGGTATGAATTATGGCAAGATAAACCACTCGAAAATGACATGAAACTGATTGATATTCTTGATTACGAAACATTTTACCCAGTTGTATGTATAGCAATACGAATTTCCATAACTTTACCTGCAACTTCATGTTCAGTGGAAAGATCTTTTAGGTAATATTTTCTATATTATATTTCTTATTTTTTCATTAAGTATATTATTCTTTCAAAATAATATGTCATTATATTTTTAGCACTTTACGTCGTTTAAAAACATGGTTGAGAAACAAAATTGGAAATGAAAGGTTAAGTAGTTTAGGTCTGATTAATATTCATCGACAAAGATATGAGAATAAGGAGTTTTTTGACCAGCAACTAGAAGCTATTATTCAAAAGTTTGGATTGAGTTCTCGGCGATTGGAATTGCTTTTCAATGATTAATAAAATAATAATGTATAACTTAAATAAAAAAATACATATTTACTAAAATCAAAAAATAAATAAGTTTTGTTTTAAATATATTTTGTTCATTTATTATTATTGGTGTATAGAGATATTATTAAGTTATTGTTGGGGGGTGTGGGGGACTTTGCCCCCCACGTTTTATATTGACACTAAAAGTATTTTGCACCTAGTGAGCTACTTCTCTTTGGGCGTGCCTGACAGGAGCATATTACATGTTTTTCGGATAAATTTGTTAAAAACGAAATTAAATTATTAATTGATAGTGGTTCTGAAATGAACATTATAAAAATTTCAAGTTCACGCGTTTGAAAAAACATAAACTGAAATTACAACCAACGAAGTGTGCATTCTTACGTAAAGAGGTTTTGTATTTGGGGCATTTGATTAGCGAAAACGGGGTAACACCAGATCCGAATAAGTTGTATTAAAGATTATCCGAGACCTTTAACCGAGAAGGATGTTAAATCTTTCTTAGGTTTACTTAATTATTAGCGACGATTCGTTGACAATTTCGCCAAAATTGCTAAACCTCTAACTTATTAAAAAAGAACACACCATTCGTATAGACTGATATGTGCGAAGACGCTTTCCAAGAATTAAAAATAGCATTAATGAACCCACCTCTGTTAGTATACCCCAACTGAGAGAATGGAAATTTTAACTTCATGACGGATGTAAGTCAATATGCAATTGAGGCCGTCCTTTCACAAGGGAAGGTACTAAAAGATCAACCAGTAGCTTATGCAAGTAGGACGTTAAATAAGGCCGAAACAAATTACAGTGTAATTCAAAAAGAATTATTAGCGATAGTGTGGGAGGTTAAATATTTTAGGCCGTACCTATACGGAAAAAAATTTAAAATAATAACTGACCATCGACCGTTGACATATTTATTTAACATAAAAGACGTTTCATCGCAATTAATGAGATAGCGATTACAACTCGATGAGTACGATTACAAAATTGCCTATAGAGCAGAGCCTCCAGCATGCAAACACGGATTGTTTATCATACTAGCTCTACACTCTCGCCGAGGCGACACGAGGCAACGCGAGCATGAGAGTGCAGTCGGTTCACTCGTGTCGTCTCGTCTCGCCTCGCCTTGCCTCGTACGCGCTCCGTTCGGTGTCGGTTAGTGATGAGATAAAATAGCAGTAGCAGTGATTTTTCACCAGTCATTTTAAAGTAGCAATCACAACCTGCTACTCCAGGATGAAAATAACAGTGACTGCCACGTTTTTACTTTTTAATAGTTGGTAACATTGGAAATATATTTTCTATTATTGCTACTTATTGTAACTGCTACTATTTTGTATTTTGAATTTTCTATAATATTATTATTTTAATCAACTGCTACTTTTGCATAAACGATAGACATAATTAGATAATAATGAAACTTCACTCGTTCACTCTTATCAGAATTAGTTATCAACAAATACCTAGTTATATCCATAGACATATAATATATAGACCGCGATGAAAGAGAGAGAGGTCTTAAGAAGACGTCACACTAAAACGCGTACGCGTACAACGGCCAAGAGAATGCGCTATTAAGTGTTTTTGCAATCCGCAAGCGCTCGGCGTTTAAACCACGCCCACTACTCGTGTCAGTGCCGTCCGATGACTGTGCTCGTTCGGGAGCGCCGTTTATTATTCTATGAACGTTCGTCCAAGACGTTACGCGACAATAATATAATTATATATAACTAAACCCGTAAATTCCAACGTAATATTTTAAATATCCGTGCCTACCCATGAACCTAACGATTATAATTTAAATCACTATTTACCTAATAAATGTATAGATAAATTTATAGATCATAAAATCTATAATGCAACATACCTTGAATTTTATTTTTTGCATTATTACTTACCAATTTAAATGCAATAACTATAGTATAAATTTATAATATAATTCGATAGTTCAGCTAAATATGGAATTTGCATATCGATTAAAAGACCACATTTTTTTACTTTGTAACCGAACTTATCTTCAAATTTTTTTATTGCTTCATCTTCTATATCCCTTCCGTACTGAACAGATCTATAAAATAGAAATACAATTATTCTTATTATTATTAATACACATTTTAAATATATGGTGCAGTATTTTAAATGTATACATAACATTGAACAAACTTGCTATTGAATGTTAAACATAACATAGAATACACCATGTTTTTGCAGCTATAGTCCGCTTCACGAAAACTGGCGGGTGGCCGCCGTCGTACCCTGGACCTCGCCCTGCCTGTAGACAGTGTTTCTCATTCTGTGCGACCACCTGTTGCGGTTCGGGCGGCAGCGCGTAACAATTGACTCTATTGTTGAATTTAAAATGTTAAGCTCTCCTGTTGACAACATTCCACGTTTATACGTTTTACAATGTATATACAGTATCTAGGGGAGGATTATGGAATTTATTGTTGTTTTTGCAGCTGCTTGTGGCATCGTGTTTTACAGTTTTCTGTGCATTATAGTGTGTTCAGTGTTGCTGTGTACACGTCGGCTGTCCGTTGAAATACGTATACATTACAAATATTCGTTTCAAAATCTACTTTTTTACATTTATTTTAAATTTGATATACATATATAAAAATGTCATTTAAAGACCACGATCTCCATAGCCAGAGTAAAAAAATAATTTATAATGTTTATTTATTTTTTAAAAAACTATCCGAATCAAATGAACTCTACTCCGATATTTTTAAAAAAACACAAGACGTTACTGCTGATGCTTGTGGAATATCGAAACGCTCCATTCAGCGAATATGCTCAGAAGTGAAGAAGACTGATGAATTACCTGAGGAGGGCCCTTCTTTTTCATCTCCACGGAAATGTTACATGAGGCAAAAACTTGTATCGGAGTTGGATGATTTCGATAGTGAGGTGGTTAGAAGGACCGTACATGAATTTTACGACACAGGTGAGTATCCTACATCACAATTAATACTTAATGCAGTCAAAAGCAAAATAAATTATTCGGGAAAAATAACATCTATTCAAAGACTATTAAAAAATTTAAAATTTTCATATAAAAAATGTAGAGACGGTCGTAAGTTTTTAATGGAGCGTAATGACATAGTGGCTCTTAGATGTAAATTTTTAAGAGAAATTTGTACAATGCGCAAAAATAAAGATTCTCGTCCGATTGTATATCTTGACGAAACATGGGTGAATCAAAATCATTCGCGGAGTGTCGCTTGGCAACATAATACAAACATGGTGGGTCCAAAAATCCCGACTGGAAAATGTGGGCGTCTTATCGTTGTTCATGCAGGGTGTGCTAAATACGGGTTCATTCCAAATTCAAAATTGGTTTTCCGGAGCAATACTGGCAATTCTACGGATTGTCACAGCCAAATGAATTCGGAATTATTTAAATCTTGGTTCACCCAAATGTTGAACAATCTTGAAGAACCGTCCGTCATCATAATGGACAATATATCATATCATTCAACCCTTATAGATAACTATCCAAAGAGCAATGCAAAAAAAAGCAGATGTACAGGAGTAGTTGACTAAAAAGAATATCAAATTTTCACCATTAGAGACGCTAGCAGAACATAAAATGAGAGTTAAAGCTTTAATACTAAATGAAAAAAAGTATGAATTGGATCAATTAGCATTAGAAATGGGCCATGAAGTAATTCGACTTCCTCCATATCATTGCCAATACAATCCAATTGAGCTGATATGGGCGCAAGTGAAAGGCCAGGTTGCAAAAAACAATAAAACTTTTAAAATGTGCGATATCGAACGATTAACTCACGAAGCATTAGATTCGGTCACCCAACATAATTTGGAAAAGTGTGTGAGACATGCAGAAGAACTTCAAGACAAGGATAATGAAAAAGAAATCATGAGAGATGCTGTATTAGAGCCAATCATTTTAACATTGTTACCAGATGACAGCGATTGGGATTACAGTGACGATGAAGAAAATGCTGAATAGGACTACCAATTTGTGTGTTTGTATAATTCTTTTGTATTTATATTTTATATATTTAAAAAAAAAAAATAATTATATATTTATAGTATAAAAATGATACTGTAAATTTTAGTAATAATTTAACCATAATTGTTAAAATAAATTTTAATACAAAATATTAATAAAAAAAAGTTATATATTTTTACTTGTATACTAATTATATTTTTTTTGTTTTTTAAGTTTTGATTTTGGTATGTTTTTGTTATATTGAATTGTGAGTCGGTATTCAAATATAATATAAAATTATAATTTGTATTTTTACTATTATTATTATAAATATTTGGGAATACTATAATACCAAAATTAATAAATGTTTGCGTTTTTTATATTATTTAATTTAATTATTAAAAAAATAATAATAATGAAATAGTTAATAATGCAATATTATTATAATTTAAAAAATAGTGTGTTTTATAAATAATACATTGTAGGTATTCAATGTTGTATTTCAAACAAATCGATTTTATGATAAACGCATAAAAAAAATGGAAAAAAGACAGATGTTTATTAGGCGTACATATTTGAAAAAGCGCGGAAAATTGTTTGATAACCACTGCAACAAATAGTCCGCTTGAATCGTGGCGATCACCCGCCAGTTTTCGTGAAGCGGACTATAGTAGGTATTACGACTCATTTTGCATACACGGCCAAAGTTACTAGCAGTGAGTCGGATTATCCTTTCTGTCTTCCATCTTTCACTTTCAGCTTGGTGTCTTGTAGCTTCTTCCACTGTAGTACGGTTAACGTCATATATAGTCCTTTAGAAACAAAATTATTGAATAAATCGAATAATAGATATCGTGTATTGATATTCAGTATTTTTATCATTGGTTGTATATAATGGGTATACTTACTTTAGAAACTGTTCCATATCATTAACAAATGATGGATCATCAACTTCTCTTATACCTGTAATAACGTACAAATTGTGCAATAAAAATATTATAGTTATAAATATATTAGGGGTACGATAATCGGACCGTTATTAGTTATAATCAGGGCTTGGGACTTTATGCATTTGCATATTTGTTCGGGAAATAAATAGAATAAATCTGATCCGGTACAAACTTATATTCTGGTGTTTGGAGTTAAAGTTTAAAAATTTATTGTGCATATGTTTGCATATTTTGGAATTTTTTTCTACAAATGCATATTTTTAAGATTTATTGATTTTTATTGCATATTTTAAAATATTTTTTGATTATTTATTCTTAAATCATATTTTTAGTAAATTAATAAATTTTATCTACATGATTTTGTCGGCAATAATACCGATAAAGCGATAATCAATAGCGTTATGAGGAACCCATTTTATTTATAGCTCTGAAGACAATATTATTTTTATTTAATCTGTTTTTTACATTTACAGTATTATTTTGTTTGACAGTACACAGTAATCGACGGACTACGATCGTTATCCTTCAATACATATGAAGGGCGACCTTTCAAAACGCACTATTGCCAAAATTCAAACTTTTCAGGAAAGAAAAAAAACTGTTTTTGGTATAAATTCTATGTGTGAGTTTACATTGATGATTTTTATCAATATATTATAAGAAAAGAAATAGCTTTGAATTGTCAAAATTCATCTTTATCAAGTTTTAAGTTAATTAATTAAGGTTTTAAATTTACCATTGCCAACACATAGTACGTTTTGGACTGAGTCGGGCAATAGTCCGTTTTGTAATACATAGAATCATTATTAATTCAAAACGCACTATACTAGATTTAATAAATATTATGAAAATTTTATTGTTTGAAAAATACAAGTACAGTAGAAACCGTTTATAATGACACCGGTTGTAATAACTAATAACATACTGGGTGTAATGACCTTAGATTGCAAGTCCCGGCAAATCTCCTATATTGTATGTACTAATTTGTATCGATTATAATATAGTGACTATACGGATGTTATGACAGTTATTTTTGGTTATATTGGAAAAATTTTTTATCTATAATGACTTTACTTAATTGAAGGTACGTACTATTACAATACCGATAATACCGATAATTTCATCGTTGTTTAGTAGTCAGTTTTATTTTATTTTATTTTATTGTCAGTGTACGGGTAATCGTCGTGCGGTTAAACGTGTTTTGTGTTCGTGTGTTAAATTGTATTGTGAAATTGTAAAATGAGCAAACGAAAGCAATTCACCATCGAAGAAAAGGCAAATATCATTTTTCGTTTAAAAATAGGTGAAAAAAATTCTGACATAGCTAATGAATTAGACGTAGGTCACTCTACAATTTCCAACACATGGAAAGTTCGAGACAAAATCGAACAAGAGTTTCAAAATGAAAAATTATCAGTTAAGAAACTCAGAAATGGTACACATACAGATTTAGATAATGTTTTATTACGATGGTTTAAAAATCAAAGAAATCTATGCATTTTAATTAATGGACCAATTCTTCGACAGAAAGCCAATGAGTTAGCTGAAGGCCTTGGTAAGCATAATTTTAATTGTTCTACTGGTTGGATTCAAAGATTTAGAGCGAGGCATATAATTGTGTTTTCAACAATAAACGGAGAATCGAATTCGGTCAATACTGAAATAACACAAAATTGGATCGAAAAAGTATGGCCTAAATTACGAGAAGGATACACAGATGACCAAATTTATAATGCAGATGAGACTGGACTTTTTTACAAAATGCTTCCTAACAGAACATTAAAATTTAAAGGAGAAAAATGTTCAGGTGGTAAAATGTCCAAAGAACGTCTGACTGTCTTAGTTTCAGCAAGTATGACTGGTAAATAAATGAAACTGATCAGAATTGGAAAATCCCGTAATCCACGATGTTTCAAAAACATCAATAGTGACTGTCTACCGGTAACATATGAATCTAACTCCAAAGCTTGGATGACTGCAGAATTATGGTCTAAAATTTTATTAAATTGGGATTTAGAGTTAGGAAGAAAAAAAGAAAAAATTTACTCTTAGTTGACAACTGTCAACATTGCGCTGTAGCATTACGCAATATTAAACTTGTATTTTTACCCAGTAATTGTACGTCTGTTCTTCAACCATATGATCAATAATATTGAAAACAAAATTGAAGCGAATATCAGCGTACTAGATGGTATATTAATGATTTTTAAAGCTTGGGAAAAAGTATCAGAGATTACAATACGAAATTGTTTTCGTCACGCTGGTATCAATAATACAATACCACAACAAACTGTGCAAGGAGAACAAGAAGAAGACATAAGTTTCCCAAACATAAATGAATATATTAACTTTGATAATGATGTGTTAACTTCAGAACCATTAAGTGATCAAGAAATTATTTCTTCATTGATTAACCAACCCGAAGAACCTGAGGAAGACGATAATAGTGAAGAAGCTGATACTCCTGATGGAGATTTATCTATTAATGCAGTGTTCAATGCAGTAAAGATGTTAGCAAATTATATGGCTCTGAATAACGTAAGTCCAAAGATAAATTTTGAAGAACTAGAAAAAACAATAGAGCGTGATTTCTATACTAACAAAGTTCAATCTAAAATAACAGATTTCTTTAAATAATAATTGAACTAATTAATTTAAACAAATATGTGTACACGTACATGATTAAATGTTTTTTACTTATTTTATACTTACTTTATTATTTTTTTCTACATAATACATTGCATAAATAAATACATAATAATAATATTAATATGTATTGAAGTTACAATTTTTTTTTCGTCATTTTGGTTATAATGACAACCGGTTATTATGACCTATTTTCTTTGGTCCCTTGGACGTCATTATAAACGGTTTCTACTGTATATTGTCTGTTATTAATATTAACTAGATACAAAAAAAAATATGAACAAACAAATTGTATTATTACAATTTTTTATTAGTAATGTATTATAACAATATTTTTTATAATTAAATGACAAAAACAAATTAACATCTTAAACCATAGTAACAAAATAAAACAATAAAATCAACTTTAATTTAAAATGGTATGTAGTATGTTGAGTACCTACCTATAAATTATTATTAGTTTTAGGTAGTGTAATACTAATAAAATAAAAAAAAAAAAACAGTGTAATACTTTATAACAACTTTTAGAAATAATAATTTTTTTTATAATTAAATAACAAACAAATTAAAATCTTAAACCATAGTAACAAAATAAAACCAACTTTAATATAAAATAGTAGGTGTATAATATATCTATACATTATAAGTTTAAGGTAAATTATCTTAAAAAGAATCTTTAGTATAAAGAGGAATCCCATTTTCATTTTCTAAAACATCTTCAGCATTAATTATTATGTCATTTGACTTAAAAATATCTTTGTAGAATTCTGAAGCATTTTCTGGAACTACAAAAAACCGCATTAAATTTTTAACATCTTTCTGCTTTTCAGGTTTTACGTGATTAATTTGTGGTAACTTCTCTAATGTATCAAAAATAGATAAATTAGCACCTCTTTTAAGGACTGGTGTTGTTAAAAGTGAGTTTTCGTCATAATTTGGTGAAATGCTTAATGTTTTTTTTTTCCTTTATTATATGAAAACATTTTTTGCTCAGTAGATTTAAATGTGTTTACTTTCATAATACTTTTCGCTAACTTTTTAAAGTCATACATAAAAAAATCTTTATTTAGTATATGAACTTTTGTAAATTGACTAAATGTATCATGGTATTCATCTAACCTAATCTAACATCCATTAAAAAAAAATGTATTAATATTGACTTAATAAGGTATTAAATAAAATAAACTTAAATTTGTAAAATTATTATAGATAGTTTTATAAACTTTTACAAATATTAGGTACTTACATCATTTTTAGGATGTTTGGCTGGCTGCCTAATACATTTTTTTTAGATAATAACCATGAAGTTACTTTTGCCTGTTATAATCATACATTTTATTTTAAAAATGATTTATAGTTTCCAATAAAAACGTATATTAGTTACCTGACTACTATCATCGTTCAATGAATAGTCCAGTCTTCTTGACACATTTTTAAAAGTTAAATCTTCTTGCTTTAATTAAATAAAATATTATATTATAAATATATGAGTATTACAATGTTGGCTAATGTCATTTAAAATGGTCAAAATAATTATATTTATTATGTCATACTGTACAGGTACGGTAGTTACTGACAATAAGTTGATGACAAACATTATTATATTCATAATAATATGTAATAATGAAAAAATACTTACACTTATAGTAGCAAGTACAAGTTTTTTGGAGCGACGATTCATTTTGAAAATCTTTTTATTTATTTAAAGGTATTTCAAAAACTAATAAATTATTTTTCATCAGTTTTTAGTATATAAAACGTATTAATAATACGTTATCAATGGACTTTTGGCGGTAAACAGCCAAATTCACAACACTTTGTTATCATAAAATGAAGTTAGAAATGGCTTTTTTTTTCATCGAATTGATAAAGTTATAAACATAAAATTAGAATTAATCGTATTTACAAATTTAATACTCAAATTTATTTAAACAAAGTAAAATCGAAATTAATTTTATGTTAAAATAATCAAAAATCAATGGCGCGTTTTGGAAAATAGAGAATTTATGTCCTATTTAATTAAAATGGGAAATAGTATGTTTTGCTTTGAGATTGGCAATAACGCGTTTTGGAATGATATATGGCAATGGGACGTTTTTACGTAACAACTAGTTGAGTCCTATATTTATATTATGGGCAATAGCACGTTATGGAACAAAGTGGCAATTGAACGTGTTGGAAACTAATAATATAGGCGATAGCACGTTTTGAAACAAATACCGATTTTAAGATCGATACCACTGAAAAAATAATCGTGATATCGAAAATACGATTCCAAATTCATATTCGCCAGCATATTTACCACAAGAATCGATATCTAACTTGATTTCGATAAAAATGCAATAGTGCGTTTTGGAATGTCGCCCTTTATATATCGTCAATCGTTGTCATGTTCGTATTTGTATTCGTTATTTTGTATTTATTAGTGCTCGTATTTGTCTCCGTACGCGTCCGCTTCAGGCCGGAGCGTTTGCCCGATCCGGGGGGCGACGGAAACGTCGTTCCACGGGCGTGAAAGCCTAGGTTTGCCCGTGGCGCGGGGTCACTCATCGGGTGGACGGCTTGCTGTCCCCTCGGGGAGAGGCTACCGCGCCGGTGTCGCACCCCTCAGAACCGCGGGTAACCGCGAGGACGATGTAATCACCTGGCGGGTGCCGGGTCGCCTTGACCAGCTGTGAGGGTCCTGGCGAGCCGTCCCCGAGAGGCGATGGCCTGAGTCGCGTCTAGGCGTGGCCGGGTGGACCGACACTAGGGAATTTGTGGTTTCGATGCGGGCGCTGGTGGAAGGGCGCCCGTACCGACGGATCGGGGCTTCCTCGTAGCGGTAGATGTAAACGGCGCTGCCTCCGGGCAGCGACGGCTAACACCGATCTAACTACAACTGTCGGCCCCACCCAGAGAGGTGGCGGCTATGCGTCCGCAGCGGTGGCTGCTGACGGTAAACTAATGGTATATATGCTAGTCTCAATGGCAGCAGGCTCCGGTGTCAGCCGGGGTGGAATTTGACCGTGGTAGACTTGGAAGCGGCAAACGGAGGTGGACGATCCGGACGCGGTAGCTTAGGCTATCGCGACGGACGCCGACTCGGGAGGCATAAGGCGTCTAGGCGAACCTGCTCCCACGTGACCTTCTGCGGGTTGCGAGGGTGCGGCTCGTGAATCGCGCAGTTGGGGAGTCGCCCGGCGACGTGTCCAAGGGGCACGGCGTCGGGTCTTTCTCTTCAACGGCGCCCGTACATCGCGCTACGATGGTTCTCGCGGGGACCGAACTTGTCCGGCCCGCCGGGAAGAACCGTACCGTTGCGAGATGCTGGCGCCCCGGACCCCCCGGGACACGACTCGCGGGGGACCCGTGCGCGACCGCGGTTGCGCCACCGCGCTAGCGAAAGGTTGTTGCGGAGGGCACGGGAGGAACCGGAGCCCAAGGTGACCCGGGGGTCTGAGGACCCCCGTCGCCCACGAATGGGCGGAGACGAGCTGACAGACTAAATCGGCGTGACGAGGGCACGACCGAGGGCGGCCCTGGACTTAGCAACCTGGGGACCGATAGAAACGACCTCCG